TTAAAAAATTTTAATCCGAAATAAAAGGAGTTTGTCAAAAACATAGAACTTTAGAAGTACCTACTTATGTATTCCTTTAAGAATTGTAAGACGCACACGCTGAAAATATTGGCAAATAAATTGTATTTCTTGAAAATCAAATTAATTACTTTAATTGAATTATTAAATTATACGGAATGGTAAACAAAAAATGTTGAAAAAGATTTTAGATACAGACAGTCAATAGCGGTGAAGTATAGCACTTTATTATTTGTTTCTTTGCATAAAATACCCTGCATTATCAATTATAGAGATAAATAGCTGCTTAAATTAAGCAGATTAACGTCTTCTAAGTTTGTAAATTATATAATTAAAATCATCAGCTCATTTTCTAGTAATAATTTTCAAGTTATTTAGTGAAATATTTACAGCAGTTATTTTTGCGTAGGTACCCTATTCATTCGCATTCGCAGTCGCGTTAACGACACTGTTTAACATCCGCGGATTTTGGTTGCAAAATTATCAGTTCAATTTTAAGTGCACCTACTTGAAAATATAAAACCTTGGAACCTCAATTTCAAAATGTCGGAATTATAATTAAAAATGTAGGCGTCGCCAGTTAAAAAATACCAATTTTTTACAAAGTTGTCACAAAATTTCTTTAATTTTGTGCGACCTCTACTCTGATATCCCAACTCTTCACTTTTATTTGCAATGCATTTTCACACAATAATAATACTCAAAAATATTAAACTATCTGTGAAATACTATCTGAACTATGTCTGAGTATGATCGTTATTATCCTGAGTCAGAGAGGCATGCACAATTATGTGATCGTTTTAAGTAATTTGAACTGTATTTATAAGAGGTCTATGTATCTAAGTAAGTTGCTTTTGGTATGATATTTATTGTTGTATTTTGTCATTGAATCTCAGAAATACTATGAGACTAAATGTAGGGTATTTGATCTCGGCATTGAGGATGTTCAAAGGCAGATTTGAAAAATATTTGAAATTTGTAATTTGCTCCCATTCCAGCTCAGGTAAATTGGCCTGTTATTCTTTGCTACTGTGCGCTATATAATCTGTCAATGACTCGGCCAATGCAGATTACATCTAAAATCTATGTGTTCCTCTGAAAGAGAAAGAATGGAGTTATTCGGCAAGATTGCACTTTTTCACAGCTAATGCAAACCAATTAAAATGATTAAGTACCTGGAAAACAATTCACAATAGGTTTATACATGTCATCATTTGGGAACTGAAATTAGTTGCTCTTAGTAAATCGGAACTTTACTGCTTCAGTGAGCATTAACTAACGAGCGATAATAAATAATAATTAACCAGGAAATAAATTAGTGTTGTTTCTTGAATATTGCTAACGAATGATTCAATAAAGTGTGAGATTTTGAAAAATTTTCTTGATATTGTTTTCATAAATTCTCCAACAACGTACTGAAGTACCTACCTAATTAAAAATAAAAAAGTATAATTTATGTTAACCACGTTTAAGACCTACTATAGCTTTATATTTACCTTATCACCTCTTGACAAGGTGTTAAAGAGCTGAACTTTATGCCTGCGACACAATTACGCTTCTGAGAATACCACATAAAGGCAAATAAAACAACGGGAGGCCTGGATGAATGCAGAATTTCAAAAAAGTTAACAGATAAATCAAGTTTCGTAAAAAATTGCTCAAAATTACAATACGACCATTGTGCTAATGAATGCAATATTAAATAATAAACACGCAATTTTTGTGAAAATTAAGTGACTAGTTTCACACGAAGAACCAGCCATATAAAGTTACTTATTATTATTAATATATTCTAATAATGATGTTGAATGGATTTTATGTATATTATAATGTTACAAATGTGTTTCTGCGATTAATGTAACAAAATCACGTACTGAATGTAATATTGTTATTACATCTCAGTGGCTCTGCGCGTGGGCATTTGTTGGTACAAGCGGATGTAAAATTTAGTAAGCATTTAGTAAGTACCTAATTTTGGATCAAGGTATATTAGTTTCCGAACATCACTTTAAACCATTTGGTTTTCGTATACTTTAACCAGTTTATAGCTTCAGTAATTGTATTGTGTTAAATTTCTGTAAATTAATCAAGCAGTGCGTGACCTTCAAAATTAACAGATAAAATGTGTACCTATTTTAGTTTTTGTTGATTCAATTTTTGTATTGTTTTATTTCGTTACTTGTTCGCGTATATTTGCTTTGCTATACTCTTGCTAGGCTTTTGGCTTAAATTCAGTTTATCTTGTTAATATTCTTATTTCTTTGAGTCCTGGCTATTCCTATGTAAATATGGTAGAGACCTACCACATGACATACTCAGGATTTAAGCGTGAAACTTTTCGAAATCGAAGGATGATTAAGTTTTTATGAAACTGAAGGCATTAAGCCTGTCTTCCTTGATTTAGACTGCTTTAGTTACTCAAAGTTTCTGTTAATTTTTTGTTTTGTTTTGTTTTCTTTCCTAAGTTGACGTTGCTTCCACCTATTTTCTAAATTGATCCGAAAAATTGTAGAATAATTGTGACTGGAAGGGCATTGATTCCTTTTTCAAGTTACGGCAAAAATTAATATTTTAGGTACACCATACAAAAGTGATTTATCTCTACAAAGTACGAAAATGTATTCTTTGACCACATCAGGCTTTTCCCACTTTAACCGAGTGAAGTACTTAACACATTTTTTCCCTTTTTCGCCTTTCATTCCATCAGCTATTTTATGTTCTTTGTTTTTGTTTCTTGTTAACATATTGTCACTTTGCATTAATAATTTGTTCTGTTATTATACGATAATACAGTCAGTGCTTCAATTTTCCTCTATTAAATTTTAATAAATACAATAATAAATCCTTCTAGGTAGATGCATTACATTTTCTACACAAATGCTCTTCAACAAATTATAAATTTTTCAAAATACGTTTTATCTTCTTTTAAATCGCTTCTATTGAAAGAAAATTAAAACTGGTACCTATACTAGTTAACTACTTCCCTCACAAATATTGATAAATTCTGAAGAAGAAAATGTCCATTTAAAAAACTTCTCTTACACCTTCCACTCAATTATCTTTTATTACGTTAAATATAATATATATAAAAATACCTCTGTTTTTATACATGCAGAGATCTCATCTAACAGATATTAGCACTCCTTTTGTTCTTGTCGGTTCAATATATGTTGATTCGATGGCAGTGATTAAATGGCGGTTGTACTATTTAAATAGGATTTTGTAACATTATTAAATGGCATAAATTATAGTTGGTTTAATAAAACCGCACGTAAGTATTACTTACTTTTCAACGGCTCAGTGAAACTCAGGTGGAAATGATAAAATAATGGACTAAGAAAATATATGAAAAAATTAATTATCCTAATTATTCAAACATTACGATTAAATAGACATGAAGAGCGTAGCTTCTCCCTTTGGGTGGAGGATTATAAGGAATTATTTCACTATAAATATCAAACTGTTATGTTAATTATGTTATTAGTCGGATTAAATATTTAATCGGGCTAAGAGAGGCATTGTAATAATTTCCGTTTTTTGTGCCGTATGTAAATGTTTACGCATTATAACAGAATACTTAATTAAATGGAAAAGGAAACTTTTGCTAATGTTTCCCAACAATTATTTGAGCGAAAAAATCAGGAAAACATTTTTTTTTGGTGATAGAAGAAATTATGTTAGTGATTGTGTCAAATAACTTAACAAACTGTAAATACTCGAGTAGGTATATGTAGGTACATATGCCAAAGCCAGGAGAAGTTTATTGGTTACTAACTTGGATAGGTATATTTCTATCAATCACAAATCATAGCGTTTCATGACAAAATATGGCTTTCAAAGTGGAATCAGCGAAAAATTATTTATATCCAAGAACATTTACAAAATCTCTTAAAATTGGAGTTATCAAAGCCGCCATTTGAACTCCAAGTTTTGCTTTACTGTTTCTTTAAACTATTTTCCAACACCTGACCTGAATTATTTAAATAATTTTACACACCTCCTTTGGATTGGAGAACTGAATAGGTACCTAATTAATAGATTTACATATTTCCTAGAAAATTGATTCCTATGCAAAGTAGTTTCCTAGCATCGACACAAGTATTCTGATTTCAATTAATTGAATCAATTATTTAAGCTTTTGCATTAGAAAGTTAACTCTCTTTTTGAAATTAAAATTAACCTGTGAGAGCTAAAGATGACCCAGTTTCCACTTTTCAACTTTGACTTTGATATGCAAGGCTTCCAACAAGTCATACCTACACATTAGGTATTTATTTCAACCATTAATGTGAAGTTAGCAGTTTAGAGTAATTTTTCCTTCAAAGGTTTAAATTGTAATAAAATGCTAATTAAATCAAAAAAATACAACACAATTCACAATTACATAAAATGGGCTACAACAGTTGAATTAATCTAAGTTTGTTCGCTCTCATTCAGCATAATCGAACAAAACACTAATTATCTATTGCATATTATTATCAATTCGACTTTTTGTATGTTCAATTAACACTTATTTAAAAATGTACAAACTCTACGCCACTGCTGCATAATTGTGAACCGCTAAACAAAAACTTTCTGGGAATCACCGTCCAGCCTAAAAAGAACGAAATGGCATAAATACTTTTCTGTTCATCTCTCACTGTAAAGTTAGGAGGGAGTAAATAGAGCAGGCCCGCAAGTTTATTACTATTGGGATGCCCGCTCTAAGTGAATAGAGCGCAAATCCCCACACGTTCACACTTCCCCTAAAAACCAACCCTAACTGATTCCCCTCTATTGTCTAACTGAAGAGAAACACTAGTATATTTCGATACCAACGGAGTGAGAGGCAGTAGGTCGGACTCCCGCCCGAATATGTCTGCCATCTTGTGACGTTGCGTCGCTGGCGACCAATAGAATTCGCAGATTAGTCAGAAATACTGGGTGGGGGCCAGGTAGGTTGGGTTGGAATATTCTGTGGTTTTTCCAAGATAGAGCGAATAGTCGATGATCGTATGTTGGCTCTTCGATGGTCGTATGTGGTGGCGTAGAAGAAGCAAATTATTCTACATCGTGAACATTTTTCTTACTATTTTTGCTTCATTACTGTAGTGGACTGATTGAAATTTTTGAATTTTTTTGTTGAAAAAGTGACCGCGTTTACTGTGCCTGAGTGACTTGTGACCTGAAGATTTTTGAAAATTCAATGTCAAGAATAACGCGCCAAAGTTTGATAGTGGAGTGATTTCTTCATGAAGAGACAGTGTTGTTGATTCTGGCCCACTGGAAGGGCAGATTTGGCGACAAACAGGTGGGAATTAGTTACGAAATCTACAACCTCTGTAAACTCGGTCGCTAAAATTAATTATCCAAACTTTGCTTCATTTAGCATTTAATAGACCTCTTTACAGACATTTAAACGCACAGTGGGTAGGTAGGTACCTACTTTAAAATGGAATTTCTTATAATACAGGTTTTCAAAACAAAAGGTCTTCTTTTGCTTTCAAAATGTGGGTTCCTATTTCATCAACTCAATATAACTTACAAACGTGTATTTTTCCCGTCCAAATGACCATTGAAAAATTTGCAGTAGATTCTTATCTAGTGGGGAAACTTTGCTAAAAGTTCACACATTTTTGGGTAAGTACTGACCTTATATATAACATTATGCTGTTATTCATTTAGTAGGATTTTCTTTATTAGAATGTAAGAAACGCCCAATGAACCGTCCACCTTCGTGTTTAAACGGTGAGATTCACCAATAAAATTCGAAAGTCATGTTGTCTTTAAGATCTTGACCGATACTTAATTGATAACGATGATTTAGAATTGATTGAAAGGCAGTTTGCATTCCAAGTCTGAAGCATGCTTTTTTGGGCGCAGCGAAGTTTAAAACATGTAAATGCAAAAACAACTTACTTTAGTCGCTGTCTACTCACTATTTTTCTGCAATTTTTTTCGGAACGTTTCAGAACATTCAAAACCTTAAGTATGTTACTTTCACACTTCAATAAAAAGCTATGGATGAGAAAATGCAGGTACAATTGCATGGTATGCAAACAAAATGAAAAAAACCGTAGAATTAAAATAATTCAACTGGAAAATACAAAACTAACTTGAAAATGCGAATCTTCTCAGAATGAATACCAAACACTGTGGGCATTATTGTAAATATGCATCATGTTATGGTGCTTAAATTCTATATAAGTAAGAGCATTCGAAAGTTTCAGTTCTGCTTCCAAAGTGCGTAGTGAAACATTACAGATCGCAAAACGCATTATTACTTATGGGCAACGCCTAAACATATAATTTGAATTTGCCATGCCTTTTTTTTTATTATTTGTTAATTTATATTCAAAAATTATATCCTCAGATATGCCAAAGTTCTCAATTAAAATTATTAATTCTACAAAAAAAAGATAATGAAATAGGTTGATATTTTATCGTATATCTGCTTACCATTCTTACAAGTTCTCTACAGAAAAATCCTTTGTTCTTTTTACATTAATGTTCTATTTCCAAAGTGTGACCTATTTGCTGTGTTTGTTGTTCGTGTAAGTTTATTTTATTTATTTAATTTAATCAGCGTTAGATTTTTTACAATATTCTAGTTAGAAATGAAGGAAGCAGGTGTGTACACACTGAAGAAAATCCAATCAAACCAGATATTTGATCAAAACTAAAAGAGTGTATACACCAATATCATTATACATACACACTTTATTACAAAAATATCTCGTTTGATTGAATATTCTAATTGCTCTCCTTTTTCGTCACTAGCAAATCTTTTTAATGCTTTCACGCTGAAAAATTATGCTGGACTCCCATGGTTTTGTACCTTGTTCACCTATTCTCATTTTGATATATCAGCATAAATTACGCCTTTTGCAGAGTGCCTTTGGTGCAACTCAACTCTTTCTAAACAGATCAATAAATCCGACATAATTTATATGTTATATATAATAACAAACTATATTTGTTTTAAAGGTAATAATTGGTCAAGTGAAAACAGCTCATAACGAATTCAATAAAATTAATTGATAAACACGTCTATCAATAGAGCTGCACAATGATCCCTTATCCAGTGGATTCGTTCTTGACCATTTCCGAACCAATGCAGGTAGAAAAAAAAGCTTCAGCACTATATTGAAAGCGGTACCCTTTCCTTCTGTTATGTCAACTGAAGTCGGTGAATTAAAAGGTCGTTAGCTCGTTTTGGTCGAAATTTATAATTATAGTTCTCAAAAAGCGACTGTCTCGTAAAGGTTATCGGAATCGGAGTTGGATAGGTGAAGAGTCAGAGTTATAGTCTGTTGATTTCAAAAATATATGTTTTAGTTCAAATATTGACTGTAGCCAAAGGCGAGATTTAATATTGCTAATGATTGTATAATAACAAATATTTGGACTTTGCACTACTTGGGTACAGGAGATTTATCGCCGAAGACCTTTCACTTACCTAAGGTTCTTACTCAATATCCAGTAATTTTACTCAACTCAAGATTACATTTTATTTTTAAATAATTCACATTGTCAATGTTTTTAACCTAGTTTTATACATAATCAAAAATATTTTTCGTCTTGAACCTACTACAAAACTACGATCTTTTGTGGAATAATGCAATATGTGGCATGGTATATATGGCAATATATTTTTTTACAATTGTGTGTTTTAGATGTACCCTGCATCTTTCAGTAACGTATGCATTTTAAATATTTTCTTAATAAAAGTAACTCTCCATTATTGAATGAGCTTCTGAGAAGGTGCACCTGGAAATACAAAACATCGGCAAAAAAGTATGTATAAAGCAACAAACTTATCGGCACATATTTTGGATCGATTTTTATCTTATCAATATTGTATTAACTTATATACTCTCATATACTCTGCGTACAAAAACAAAATTATGTCGCATTGAAAAAGCAGACAAAGTGCGATGTTCACACTTTCCAAATCATAGATATTATTAGAATTAAAGCCTTATTATTTACGTGCTTGAAGTTTGAAATTAAGAAGAATTGATGAGAGCGAAAATTAGAAGTTTTTGTCCTCGCCATCTGGTTCGAACTTTGAACATAAAGCGACAGTTTATCAGGAAAACACTGAATAATGTTTGTAAGTGATCACCTGCAACCGTATGGAACCTTGAAAAATAACACTTATCGCCGATGAGTGCAACGGAATATGTGAAATGAATATGAACAAAAGCAATATAAATATTACACTGTCCCAAACACAGTACTTTTATTCTTACGGAATCTCATATCTAGCTATTAAACAGAGAATTGTTTAATTTATTTAAGTTCAACTATTAACTGACGCTGAAACTATTCAGTTCTGAACCTTAGCCTTAAAATATGCACCACAGTGCATCGAAATTATGTATGTAAGCCTTAGGTAAATAAATGAAAGGAAATCAGTTAGAAAATGCGTGGTTCAAAAGCTATATGTCGTGCTCATTGTCATTTAAGTTTCCCTATAATAGGGGATATTAGCTGCATTATATCGACGGAATTGGCTTTTAGTTGCATTTCTTCCGTTTTACCCTTATTTTAAAATACTAAAATTGCACTGATTGCCCTTGCAGTTTGCAAGCTGTAGATCGCATACTATTAATAGTCGTCAGCATAAAATTTGTCTAAATACTTATTGGTATCGTTCCATAATTCATTTTTAGTATGATTTCATTTGAAAAAAGCTCATCCCCTTAATTCAACTCGGTTTAAAATTTATGCTGTATGATTTGCATTTCTGTTTTAATCGTCGTTTTGGGGATTGTTCACAAATATTTACTATTCTAGGTTTAGGTACATTTAATTTAATTGATTGCTGAGTTTTACGGAGCCATTTCGTAGTTTTAAGTCTTAACTGATCTTGATGAATCAATTGTTGAGCTCGATGAGTAAGCAGTTTTAAAGTATTGAAGATATACAATATCCTCGACCTTCTTCCTGAAATTTTAATAGTGCAGAGATCAGTGTAGACAATGTTAATATCATTAAGAATTCATTTGGAGCACAATGTCTTTTATATGATCATTCATATGTGCCTTGCCTCGGTGGACTATCTAATGGATAATATGTGTATGTTCCTTCTCTTCCATATATATGGTTTAGTTAATTGTGAATTTAATTTGTTAAGTAAACAAGATTGGCTAATATTCCAGCTGAATAAAGCGCCAATACGATCCAGTTGGAGCCTGGAAAGTTTGTAATTTTGATTAGAATTTTAACACTAATTTCTACTGACTGAACTGAACTGAACTTTTTCTACGATCACTCGACGTATAAAATAAAATAAACACATATAAACGTATTTTTGAAAAAGAACAAAAGTTATATAGGTAGCAGAATAAGGTTTCAGCTATGTACAACCCATTAAAAAAATTTACATAATAAAGAAATGCAGGCTTAGACATTTAAATAGTTTACAATTTCGAAACCAGGTTTGCATTGTGGCGGATATGGTTAAACCGATTACCACACCATATATTTGCAGGTAAATCGTGTTTGAAAATTGCAAATATGTGGATCTTAATTATAGTCGTAAATACAACCTTGACAGATTTTTCTTCTGGTACTGATGTTTAAATTCATTCAATGTGTGATGCATCTGACAAAATTCAGTATATAGTATATATACAAATATTATGGATATATTTTTAAGGCCAAAATAATTCGTATTTGTCCGATAAGCAGCTCTTGACAATGGCCAAAAATGTATTTAATTAATGATAGAGTTTTCTTGAGATAACAAACTATTTTCGAGAAAAACGATTTTAAAAAACTTGAGTTTTATGGGCATATTTTATTTATTGACCGGTTTATGACATCGCGCATGATAAGTTCTCAAAATTGATGCAAAACTAAGTAACAAAAGAAAAAATCTAAATGTCGGTTCTGTAGTAAATTCTACTGTTTACATGTTTACAGATCGAGGCAACTTTAATCCGTCTTTATATGAATATAATATAAATTTTACTTGGATCTCAAAGAAAGTTCACGCCTCTAAAAGGTATGTGCTGAAGTTGAAATTAGTCAGTGGATGAAGAAATCGATACTGGCCGACGATATTTTTAGTGTATTTCTGGTCTAAATACGAGGCTCTATTAATGTTTATTGATATATTTATCTATTTTAGCGATCATACCTCCACAAAGACTTAGCTTAAATGTTGAGTATGAACATAACAATTCTTCCTCAATGCTGCAAAATATCAGGTCACTTACCAAAAGCGCTTTAACAAAAAATGTTTAAACAGATTTTACGGAAGCAGAAGTCAAACTCAGAAAAAAATTGACATAGCTCAAAAAGAAGTGAACACGAAAGAGAAATATAAAAAGGCTAAAGAAGTAACACGATCACTGATCAAAATAAGTTGTAGCAAAAATATGTTGGTGAGCTTAGATGGTGAAAGATTCACTGTGTAGTCTTTAAACTCACACCAAAAGTTCCAGGTTCACGTGGATTCAGTGGAACAAATATAAGAATTGAGTTCTCCAAAAATGTGCTCATAAATTTCATTTTGACTTTTCTATTGTTTCAATTGCGTTAGCGACGACCAAAACGATTAATTATGTAGTTTTTTAAAACTTTTGTAGAACCAGCACTTTTTCATTTCCATTCGAATAATTTTGTTTTTGAATTATGCTCTTAAAATTAAGATTTCTTGAGTTACTAAAAACATAAAGATACGTTTTAATTCGAAAATATCAGGGTTTGCTTACAAAACTGCGATTGTTGGGTATGTGTTTTTTACCTTCTTTCTAAATTATAAAAATTGGAATATATTATTGAGTAATAGTTTAGTGGCATATCTAAACTACATAATAATAATTTATTTGACCGATATTTTTCAAAGTCACCTAATTTTTACATTTGTACCGAATCTTTCCTACTATTTAAGTCAAGCATAGCTTCATTTCAGAAGATAAAATTATGGTAAAAAATTCTAACAACGTATTTTCATTTAACTTCTACTGTGGCAAATTATTGTAAATCGCCACATCAAGCGTTTAGGAAACATTTATCGATCCGAGTTTTATCTAAACGGAATTAGGAGATTCAGAACTTTTTACTACTGAATAGGAATAATTTTCTGAAAATAATTTTTCTTGGATATGACTGAGGCTGCGTCTTGAAAAAGTCGATGTAAATAATGGATGAATTCTTTCAACGAAAATTGAACAGTAATTTATTTGAAACATTTTAGCGTTTTAAGAAAAAATATAGACAGAGGCTTCTTTTATGCGGAACATTTGAAAAACACTTCACATTTAAACTTCATGTTTAGTAAATGGCAGTTTAATTTTATACTTTTTTTGATACAATAACAATAAAATATGTTTTTTCTTCTAGTGTGTTATTGAACTGTCAAAACGGATTTCCTGGGAGTTCAGGGGTCCCACCCATGTCCGCCCAACCACCAACTCGTCAGCGTACCTGCTTTTGCAGGTGAGGGTATTCTAACTGCCGCCCAAGGGGTGGCAGTTGCCCCTCCGCAAAATTCTGCTTCCAGCATGAACCAGTTGGGTACTGTATATGCGACAAAACGAAGAAGAAGGAATGGGAAAAGGTACGTAAATCTTATAATTAATTTTCTAAACTGTTAACTAGGTGTGCAAGTAATTGAAGAATTACTTTAAAATAAATGAAATGTTCCTTAATCTGTTTATCTTTACAAAGTAAAATTGCCGTCAACACCTTTCTAAGTGAGGAAGTAAAATTTCCACGACATGAAATTAAATGAATGTAATTGTTCGAAAGTTGCGTGATCAGTATTGGTATGCGTGCAAAAAGACAGCTCCATTAACTGTACCTACTTAGAACTAGGTACAAAATATTTGGATTGGTAAATGATCTGTTTATTGATTGTACCACTTTAATAAAACGGTAATTGGTTGACACAAAAAAATTGAAAAATAATTACTCTGGCTCGAGTCTCTTAATTAATAAAGCCGATTTAGACATTAATTACCATGGGATTATGTGTTAGACATAACAAGCACGTTGGTTATTCAAGCTTACTGGGTTACACCTGAAATCTTTTAAATATAGTCGCCGGTTGTTAACTAAGTTTGAAGATTTAAAAAAATCGCACATATTTAGAGAAATAAATATGATAATATTTATGGTTTTATAACATTTTAACATATTTTAAGAGATGCGACTGGTTGACGCTATTTTCATATTTTTTTCAGCACCGCGGTGTTTTAGTCCCATTTAGAAAATTAAAATGAAGTCGAAAATAAAGAGCTTTTAGACAAACAGGAACAGCCCTTTTTACTCTTTTTACTAGCCCCTTTGAGTGCAACTAACTACACTTGATTATTTTTTGTTTCTATTTTAAAATTAGTTAAGTTCTGTTGCTGCTAATTACTCATAAACATATTCTTACTCCCCCACATCTATGAAGCGTCTTAATAGCAAAAATGCGAGACAAAATTTTAATTAAGTGAGATTAACGAGTGGAAGTGAATTTTAATTTTAACCATTTTTTTCGGAAGGTTATAATTGAAGAATATTATTAAAGAATCGCATTTAATATTCTAAGGCAAGTGATTTTTTTGAAAAACATCTTGGATTTAACTTCACGTTCTTTAGTGGAAACTCTAGCACAATGATTGAAACGATACAGTAATCAGAAAATTGTCTTTTCTTTAGCTTCAGCTCGGAACTTTTTGTTTTTACATTGTTTATTAAGATGCTAAAAGGATATTTTTTGTGCCAACGATTGCATAAGCTATGCCTGCTTTGGTCCCATTAACTATCAGAAAATAAATTTTTCAGCTGAAATAGACAAAACGCTTCAAACTGATGAACTTAATAATATTGACTCAATGAACAAAATATGATTAAAGCCTCAAATGAGCCCTAATAAATTACGTGACAAAAAATGAAAATTAATTCCACTTTATATCTGAATAAATGATCAAATCGCTGCCCGGATTTAATACAAAGTGTACGAGAGCTTTATGGTTTAATGGATCTTACTCACGCCTTTTGTACACACTAGAACACGTAAGCTCAGACGTTTTTCAGGAAATGATGTGCTCAAATAAATTGCACCTGTGCATTGTTTTACTTTTAGAAGCCACTCGCTAACCCAATTTATTCAGAATAATTCATGAATATTGTGTCAATTGCAAACTACTATCAAAAAGATGATGTTACTTGAGAAATTCCACACTGGTTTCCCAATAAGTACATCGCAAATTTGTTGTTCCATTTTCAACAGGAAAAAGTATTGAACATTTCAATATTTATCACCTTATTAGGGAACTCAATTCTTCATTTATAGATTAAATTTAGATTGACTTTTTAGCCACAATTTTTTTAAATATAGGAAAACAATTAAACATTTTTAGAAATTTGGTCTCATTCGATTAGCATGATTGGTCATGCTAAAATAAGTTAATAAGTTGCTTCAAAATTCACAAGTTTTTCTTTACTTCCAATCCATGTATATCTATTTGATGATATATCTATCACTTTCATCCATTACATTTCGCAATTGTTAAAATGTCTTTCAGACGAAACACTAATTCTCTACTGTTCAATTTCCATAACAAATTTAATAGCGGAGTCTGAATTGGTATAATGGCAGAATAACTGTAAATCCCTCGCCATAATTCTAATAATATATTTCAATCTGCCTAGGTGTATATTTACGGCGTTTTACACTATCTTGAGTTAAAAACATGACTGCATATGAAAGAGGAAGATAACAAAAAAGATTATGATGAAGAATTTTACCCTCGGTTTCGCAGTTTGGATTCCCATTTTATGCATGCTCATATAATTAAATTTCTATGTATGCAAATCTATTCTGTTGGAAGTAATTCAAGTCGCGTTTTCACATAAAACATTTATTTATACCTCGCGCTGATAGATCATCGTAACATTCTAAACACACATTTCAAGGTAAATCTTGATTTTCTTGCACTAAATTCAGGGCGTTAATATTGCTTCAAGCAAAGCTTGACGAAATGTTCAATTGGACAAATTTAGAAAAGTATCCATGCGGTATAAGCGGAATGAATAAAATTATACTTACAAAACAATTCAATACACACATTCATTTTCAAGGTAAACACTGAGGGTTAACGCAAAACCTCAATAAAATGAAAAGCGTTCTTGAGCAAGTAATTTATAAAGTTGCCAGGGCTTTTAATTACGAGGCTAACGAATAAAAGCCTCACTTATCCAAGATAAAGATTGAAAGATATTTTCGTAATTTAACGGCATGGCTACTGCCATAATTTGTTTTATCGTGCAGTTTTCCTAAAGTTTAGTGAAAATCAAATATGCGGACAGAATGGGACTAAGAGTGATTGGTGTTTTCCATTAGGCAACAATTAATTATTTTTTCAGTGCATGTATTATATTGATCAAGTATACTAAAAGTGTACACAAAGCTAAATTTCAAAAGTGAAGAAAATAGTTGTCATAATTAAACATGAAATGATACAGAAACAGTAGTTAAGAAATGAATTTTTCTCAGCAAGAATATTAACAGTGGTAATGGAATAATTGGAAATAAATTAACAAAACTGAACTAGTAGTGAATTAAAGTGGAAAATAATTATAGGGTCTCCTACTTTTTGGTAATCAATGGTTTGCAAATGCCCGGTTTTTAATATACAAAGGGGACAACTTATTTCTGGTACTTCTTTGAATTAATATCTAGCTAATTATTTATATTTCCCATTTGTTCAATGACCGAAAATATTCCAGCATCATTTATTCATACTGGTATTGTTAATTATTTCCTTAAACTGACTTTAAATACTTGGAAAACTTGAAAAACTCAACTTGTTTTTGGTCGTAGACTATGTGGTCAAAACTTGTTTTTTAGTTTCTGGACATTTCAATTTTTTGCTATATTCTTTCTAATCTTTGGTGTTTCTTCAGATATTCAATAAAAAAATATTTAAACAATTAAATTCAACTTTATAAAAATGTTAATAATGCAAAATAGAACTGAGGTACAAGACAAAGAATAAAAAGCAATTTATGTAAAAGAAATCAGAAGCAACATTAGACAAATTGACCAGCCATAAAGTGTAACAGAAATTAGGTATAAGAATATACATGCACAAGGAGACTCAAGTAGAAAATGATGTAAAATTAGTAAAAGAAATAAAACACAAACTGATTGTAGAAAATGAAATGTGTCTACAGTAAGATTTTTATTACTGCTTTAGAGTACTTATCTCAGATTTATTTGCGCTTGCATAATTGAACGGTCAATTAAATTTCGTTTTACTGCAAGACCTCAGGAATGTAATTTATATATTATATTATATTATAATGTGCTTAATACATACCTGTTTAATTCTTTTTTTTTGGTAACATGGCCGGTCAGAAAAAGCGAGCACTGTCGTCGTCTAGCACGACACGTCGTATTTCCATAAAGCGCTGTCATAAAAATATTTTATTTTGTGAAATGACTGTTATATATCAAGCCACCCTCCTCAAAAACCGTAATGTCCCGGCTCTAGGAGCGCCGAGATCTGATAAGAGGCTTTTTAGGTTTTCAGGGGGAATGTGATTATTAATCATCAGGTTCGGACGTGGACATACGCACAATATATTTTAACAAATTTCCTATTGTCTTGTACCTTAAAACCCAGAAAATGGGATAAATCAAACTATATTTAGTAGTTCTTTTTCACAAGGCGTCATATGCTAAATTACCATGCTGTAATTTTATTATGCTTTTGTGTCATGAACTGTTGTAATCAACTAATGTTTCATATCGATGTCTGTCATGACTTTTCTTTACAACCAAGTCCAAAGTTGGCAAAGTTTAATGGCAGTAATTTTACCATTTACAGCTTTTTGTTAAATTGTATGAAATTTGCTAATGGAAATGCAATGGTAACTTTTCTAGTAAATAACCATAATTTGTTATACGGAGTGTTATAGTTCCAGCCAATAACCATCATACGACTAAAAATAAGACAGAAGTTGTAGATAACTTAGTAAGGTCTGCATCTTTTATTATGTCAAATATTTGGGACATTCCAAAGAGTGTAATTTGTACGATTTTTATTGTCACTTTCGTTGAAAGCCATCGTTTTCATTCCTAAAAATTTTAGTTCCATTTTCAATCAACTGTAGCTGTTGAGTGTTTGAGTTTCTTGATGGTAAAGTGAACTATAATTGATTAATAATGCACCTGACAAAGCAAAGTTCTAACAGAACCACAAACAATGTTACAAGAAATTGCAGCAATAAAACCAATATCCGCTCAGGTCATATTAAAAAATTTACTTAAAAAGTTATTTTTTCAGAAGTAATGGGTGTACGAAATCTTGTCTAGTAAATGAAACGTTTCCGGACCTATTTTAATATGAATTTGTTTTATACTGCTGAACTATTGTTCATGTACCTGATTGTTTGTAGAATCTTCATGCAGTTACATTTAACCGTCATATCTTGTATAAGGTGCCCAAAATTGTACCTGCATATTCTAGAAACAAATATGAAACAATAACTTCATCGATCGTCTGCTCAGGTAAATTATTGAACGTAATTTTGGATCACTTTGTATTTGTATATTTAGTTCCG